GCCGCGGCCAGAGGGGCGGTTCTGCCTCCGACCCAGCTGCAGAAAACACACGATAACGCATTTTAGAAGAAACGTCAGGAAAAGGCTCGTCCCAGAAGAGCAACCTGCTACGACTGCAGCACGCAGACAACTTCTGAGATGTTAACGCTGTCTGGTGCTGCTAGAGGTCGGCTTCAAACAGAAGGAACAGTAGGAAGCAGACCCATGTTTTAATAAGTCAGAACCACATTAAAAGCTGAGCTCCAGTCCATGAGTGAGTGCACAGTACTTTGATGTCATTTATACGAGTAGTAACCCAATATTAATATAAAAACCCTGGAAAATATAAAAAATTACATTAAATTAATGGCATTCAAAGTTCAGTGAGTGAGTGCATGTCACTTTGATGTCAGTAAGAATAAAATAGCTGAATGAAAACGTTGGAAGATATAAAAAAATGAATTATTGTTATGAAAATTTCAAACGCTAACTTATAAATAAATCATCAGCTGTTTTATATATATGTTTTCATCTGTGATAATTTATGCTCACAAAGTGTTGATATGGATATTTATTGCACTATTTGACACTTTCATTTACATATTTCTCTCTATAGATATTTATGTTTTTCCTTCTTCTTCTTCTTCTTCTTCTTCTTGAACAGGTGCTAAACACATTTCACTGTGCGTTAAACTGTGTGTAACTGTGTCTGTGACAAATAGAGGTCTTGAATCATGGATTTCGATCAGTTTAATGATCAAACTGAATCCAAGAGTTATCATTTTTCTTTTAACAAACTGTAAACAAAATCTTTCTCATTTATTTATGCAATCAGATGCATCTGGAAAAACACGCACTATATAATGTGAAGCATCTTTAATTATAACATGCCGTCAAACTAAAGAAACAACAGCACCTCGGCTGCAATGAAGGAGATGTTGTTGAAAATATGTGGAAAATTCACTTCACCAGATTAATGCCAACATTGAATCAATGTTCATATCCAGCATTAGGATTTATCATAACAACCGTCTGAATGAAGGCTCTTGTCTTAACGTTCTGCTGTCAGAGGAACCACCACAGCCGATTATCCACCTCCTCCTTCTGAAAATAAGCTCCTCTGTATCTTCCTAACTGGATTTCACACTCGGCTACGGCTCATACAGCAGAGTGTCACACTGCAGCCGCCCTCGCAGTCAGACCGCTGCTACAAGTCAGGATTTAATCTGTGATTTTTGGGGTTTTTTCAGATGCAGATAAACAGCGACACATCTGAGTAGAACAGTTGTGTTCTGGGGTGGTTCTTTAACAGCGTTGCCTTCTATCCAAGCATCACGTTGCTACGGCTGCACTGAAGGTCGCCTGACGGGCCACGCTAACAAACAATTGGCATTGTGCGCCGCAGATTGGGGCCTTTCCAAGGTCCATACCAACCGGACAACGGGCTAACTCCAAAATAGCAAACCACACAGGTCTCAGATGTTTGAAGAGCCGGACCGCACGCAGCCTGCCATGTTGTGAATTGCTGCCGGAGCCTGTCAATAGGGGTCACCTGGCGGGATCTGAAATGGGGGTTGGCAGGGAGCTATGCAGGCTGGATCCATTTATATATTGTGTCTCCGTGTAGCTCAAGCAACACTGACAACTTTACTCATGTTCCATTTGAGAATAATGAGGAACAAACGGCAGCAACGCGGCTTATTATTTCTCCAGCGCGCTCTAATCTGGTGATTATCTAATGATTTTATGCCCCATCTCCTCCAGACCAGGCCACAGTGAGCCAGAGCCGGAGAGGCAGAGCGGCCCAAAGCTTTTTCTTTTTCCTGTGGGTGCGTCTCTTAATTTTCTTGATGGAATAATAGCCTCCTGATTATAGATTATAGTTTAGCGTCTCCTCTTTGCAGCAGTATGTCAGAAAGTCTGTCAACAATCACAAAACAATCCATGTTTGTCCGTCTAACAAACTGCCGGGTCACGTGAGCCGCCACGTTGGTCCGTATTGACTCTGACAGCATCCCCCAAGACATGGATTTGATTCTCCATGTTTGTTTTGCCCAACAAGCCGAGCTTCGGGCGCCCTTCCTCGCAATGGAGTTGCCAAACGCACCATTTGCCTCTGTTGACTTGAAAGGTTGCCACCTTCGCCACATGAGCTTTGTGGGAGCCCACGTTTGAACCGGCGGCCCGGAGCAGCTGCTGAGTGACAAGTTTCAGTGCAAAGATAAAAGGATTTAAGAACGATTGATGGAAATACAAAACGGCACATTTCATCCTCCGAACACAAATCAACATTTTACCTCCCCTCTGCTCCCTGGAAATAAAAACAACCAAATAAAGTTTGAAAAATGCTGAAAACTAACTACTGTAAATAACATTTAGGTCATACAACACATTAAGCTGCTAACTGAAAGGCTCAGTCTTTATAATTAAGATAATAATCGTTATTATTTATGGCCTCAGGCTGACTGCTGTCATGACATTTAAATGAGGCATCCTGCCGCGAAGCAAAGAAACTATAAGAGATAAAACATGTCATCCTTTGGTTTAGTGACCTTTACACCTGGAGGATTGTTGTTTTTACCACCATAATGTTGTATTTCCTGTTACACCCTTTGAGAGGCGCAATAACTAACTTCCTGTCAGTCACTGCAAAATATTTAAAGTTCAAAACTGTTTGTACAGTCGAATAGAGAAGCAGCTCGACTGAAACAAAACAGAAATGTCTCTTAAAACGGGCTGCTGTAGAGTCGAGGCCGTGTAGGCTTCATGAACTCTGTCTACGTGGATGCGACGGTTTCCTAAATATGTTTGTGGTTCTATAGTTGGACACACAGGTTATAATAATAATAATAATAATAAACTCTATTTAGGTTATAGTGAGGACGCAAAGTACCAACAGCTAGGAGACAGAAAATGTAATTTCTGTGAATGTACACATGAGCTAAAAACAACAGACGTGCTGTGAATACAGTGACTTGTTTTCCTCCTAAAATGATCCTTTAGACACTAATGTTTCTGTCAGCTGCTGTGTGGTCAAAGTTTTCACTCTTTTCTGTCCATCACAGACACAAAGAGAGTCTTCTTCCTGAAGGGGGGCGTCGACAGCAGCAGCATTTAAAGCCACAGACACTGAATCATCCTGTTTAAACACGGAGCTAAAACCAGAGGTTACACATACATGGTAAAGTAAAGCATCCTGGCAATATTTTAGCCGGAAAGACACATTATGGGGACATAAGGCTTTAATTAGTTTGCTAAAAAAAAAAGGGGGGGCCCAACAGGGGACCTTTAATTGGCTCAGGTGGTAGAGCGGGTCGGTCAATGATCTGAAGGTCGGCGGTTCGATTCCGTCCTGTATCCTGTGTCATGGTCGTTGTGTCCTTGGGCAAGACACTTCACCCACGTCGTCTGGTGTGACTGCGTATGAATGGATTGTTTGAGGTGGTGGTCGGAGGGCAGAACAGCAGCCACGCCTCTGTCCGTCTGCCCCAGGGCAACTGTGGCTACCACAGCTACCACCACCAGAATGAATAACTGACAGTCTTCTTCTGTCACTGTACCAAAGCATTATTCAATCCATCCTACTGTACTGCTCCACCTGTTTCATGCTCACTGTTAAAAACCGGACTAAACTATTACACAAAACCAGCACTGCTGCATAAACCAGAGGTCTCCCCACACCCAACCTATCTGAACTCAACAACAAGGCCATTACACGCATTGCACTCTCAATATCACAGGACTCTACCCACCCACTACAGGAATATCTGATCCCGTTGCCTTCAGGACGGAGATACAGGACACTGCGGTGCAGAAAGGCTCGTTTTGGTAAAAGCTTGATGCCTCAGTCATAGCTGCCTTAAACAAAATTCCCCGCTGAGCATCCCTGGACTACATTGTCATGTCTTTCATACTATTTCATGTTGTACTTTGTGTTGAAATGTTATTCTGTCTGTGTACCCTTATGTGGGATTCTGTGCAGTTTGTATTGTCATGTTATGAGATGGAAGTCAAGGGCTGGTCTGTGGAAAAGAATTTCCCCCTGGGGACAATAAAGTCTAAGTCTAAGGCGTCTTTGAGTGTCTAGAAAAGCGCTGAATAAATCTGATCTATTATTATTATTATTATTAATTGTCAGAAACTTGTTGAACACGGTACATGTCGACTTGTTTAATCTAAATATCACATGAACCGTGACACTAACATGAATGGCAGCTCCAGGACGCTACACTTGTGATTATTTTACACATTAACCGACAGTTTGCTGGAGATATCTGACATCTGGTAACGGTGCAAACACCAGAAACATCTTCCCAGCAGCCACTGAAACAGCAGCTTGCTGTCAGTCCAGATCACCTTCCTGACTTCTGTGTTTTTGATGCTCAGCTTTAAAAAAAAAAAAAAAAACAGGCTCATCCATACGTAGCCACACGTGGAAATCTCAGATGAGACAGAAACAACATTCCACAAATGCTATTTCCAGTTGGATTTGATTTTGATGCCTGACAAATCCCCCTCCATGATAAACGGTTATGATAAAGGCCCGTGCCGGTACGCGATGTGCGCGGCGAATAATGCCGTCTCATCGGCGGTGATTTAGAATTTTAATCAAGGATAATTGCCGCTCATCACGCGGCATTGTAGTATTTCAATTTAAACAACTGCCCCACTTGTTCCGCAATCATCATTTTCTTCGTCCCCTCCTCGCTAATAACCGCCGCACTTCACCCGTCAAGGTCGGCCGCCCAGCGTCGGCCGGGTCACGCCGGGTCGCACTCGTGTTGATGGAAATAGCCTGATTGAGGTCGAGGAATTTCAGCTAATATAGCTTTCCATCATCCATATTCTGATTGTGCCCACAGAGAGGGAGAGACATAACAACAGGCTTTGTCTTAAATAGAATCACAAAGGCATATCCTTTTATAGTCCTCTCCCTATTGTTGGCAGAGTGGTGGGCATGGACGGGGGTGGAGATGGCACCTGTGGACCGTGGATAAAGGGGCTCTAATCGCCCACCTCCGTCTGCACTGTCCAGGATCTGCTGTGGCCCCCCCTTCACCTCCTGAGTGCTTTTAGAAATGGCCCCCAAGAAGAAGGAAGAGCCCAAACCAGCGGCGCCGGCGGCCCCTAAGCCCCCAGAGCCCGAGCGGCCCAAGACCCCGGAGTTTGACCCGACATCAGTGACGGTAAAACACCAAGAGGAAGATTTCATTGACAGTGTTTTTTAGCTGTGTGTGTGTTTAAAGAGCATCAGAGACCCCATGTGACCTGAACTTGGCAGTGCAAGACGAGGCGGCCGGGGCAGCTGTCAGCAGGAGTCAGGGCCGCGGTGATAATCTGAATTAGAGCAGTTTTATTTCGCAGCTTTACAGAGCGCGCATAAGCAAACAGAGCTAAAGAAGCTGCAGCTCTGGGCGAGGGCTCCGGCTAATTGGTGCGTCAGACATCATGGAAAGATTGTCTTCTGCTGACTTGGCCCTTTCTCAATGGCTGAATGTTTTCCTGGTCGAGCGAGCCGCCATGTTACAATGAAAGCGCGGTCGAAGCCACAAAATATGATTTTCATTATGTCTGCGAGTAGCGGACCACCCACGCCATTCCACCGAGGGCGAAAAGGGTGGAAAAACCGGGAGGAAGAAAAATACAGATAATTATAGCCATCTCCATCCATCCTTTAAACATGCTTAGATAAGTTTCTGGATAATATTTTCACAAAGCTTCGCGGAGAGGCTGGGGTTTGCAGATATCCAGACGTGAGCCGGAGAGCGAGGGCGCGATCTGACCCGAGTCCAAAACACACACGGAGCATAAAGAGTCAGAATTTGTTGTGGGGAAGAAGAAGGGCTTATTTTTAGACTTATAATAACAGCGTAAAGCGGAGGGCCAAGCACATCACGCAGCTGTTTTAACACTCATCTCATTCACCAAACTGCTAAATTGTAGTAATTTGACCCCTTTTGTTTCAGAAAACCGCTAAATGCTTGTAATAATTTGATATTTTGATGATCTGATGATGGATTCAATTATAAAAACACCCAGAAAGGTCCCCTTTCAAGCGTTTGTTTCACTCAGAATTCATAACTTTTGCTTCAACGTGTGCACAAGCAAATGACATAACAGCCCTGCTGCATCCTGCTATATCCAGAGTTTACGGTACCAAAGCCTCTGAGCCACATGGCGTGTCTATAAATAGTCCGATGAAGCTGACGGTAGCAGCCTGCATGCATCCAGCCAGGAGTTCCAAGGTCACTGATAAACAGCGATCAGGACAGATGAGGACTGTAACTCTATCTGCCGGATCACAACGCACACCCTTCTTCTGTGAGAACCAATGACCGGCAGCCTCTAACCCCTTTGTTTGCTTTCTCTGTTTCCAGCTGGAATTCACCCCCGAACAGCTCGAGGGTAAGACTCCGGGTGGCTGCTACTGTTGTCGTCCGCACCGCATGGGCTGCTTTTATTTATAGAAGGAATAAATGGTTTGTGTGATCANTAGTGAGGACGCAAAGTACCAACAGCTAGTAGACAGAAAATGTAATTTCTGTGAATGTACACATGAGCTAAAAACAACAGACGTGCTGTGAATACGGTGATTTGTTTTCCTCCTAAAATGATCCTTTAGACACTAATGTTTCTGTCAGCTGCTGTGTGGTCAACGTTTTTGCTCTTTTCTGTCCATCACAGACACAAAGAGAGTCTTCTTCCTGAAGGGGGGCGTCGACAGCAGCAGCGTTTAAAGCCAGAGACACTGAATCATCCTGTTTAAACACGGAGCTAAAACCAGAGGTTACACAGAAATGGTAAAGTAAAGCATCCTGGCAATATTTTAGCTGGAAAGTGTTGAAGAAATTTTACTCATAGTCCTCATGTGAAGTTTGCTGTAGTGGGTGTTTATTAGTATTCCGGTATACGGTGGGCTCACCAACACAGAGCATGAGTCTGTGAAGGTGGACCGACCCCCAACATCTGCAGAGTCACACATTTATACTGTCAGTCAGAGGGTAAGGGGGGCCTGTATGTAAATACAGAGGTGAATAGAGGTAAATTAACATACAGTTGCTAATCAAATGGCAGGAGGTAAGGGGGGCAATGAAAAACAGGGGGTGGAATCGGGGGTCTGTGACAGGAGGTAGGAAAACACATGACAAAAGGTGATGGGAAAACACATGGCAACAGGGAATGAATTCAGGGATCTTTGACCATCACAATAAAAGACAATGGCTTTCTTCTTCAAAAGACACATTAAGGCTTTAATTAGTTTGCTAAAAAAAAAAGGGGGGGCCCAACAGGGGACCTTTAATTGGCTCAGGTGGTAGAGCAGGTCGGTCAATGATCTGAAGGTCGGCGGTTCGATTCCGTCCTGTGTCCTGTGTCATGGTCGTTGTGTCCTTGGACAAGACGCTTCACCCACATTGTCTGGTGTGAATGCGTATGAGTGTTTGAGGTGGTGGTCGGAGGGCAGAATAGCAGCCACGCCTCTGTCCATCTGCCCCAGGGCAACTGTGGCTACCATAGCTACCACCACCAGAATGAATAACTGACAGTCTTCTTCTGTCACTGTACCAAGGCATTATTCAATCCATCCTACTGTACTGCTCCACCTGTTTCATGCTCACTGTTAAAAACCGGACTAAACTCTTACACATAACCAGCACTGCTGCAAAAATCAGAGGTCTCCCCACACCCAGCCTATCTGAACTCAACAACAAGGCCATTACAATATGACAGGACTCTACCCACCCACTACAGGAATATCTGATCCCGTTGCCTTCAGGACGGAGATACAGGACACTGCGGTGCAGAAAGGCTCATTTTGGTAAAAGCCTGATGCCTGCAGTCATAGCTGCCTTAAACAAAATTCCCCGCTGAGCATCCCTGTACTACATTTTAATGTCTTTCATACTATTTCATGTTGTACTTTGTGTTGAAATGTTATTCTGTCTGTGTGCCCTTATGTGGGATTCTGTGTAGTTTGTATTGTCCTGTTATGAGATGGAAGTCAAGGGCTGGTTTGTGGAAAAGAATTTCCCTCTGGGGACAATAAAGTCTAAGTCTAAAGCGTCTTTGAGTGTCTAGAAAAGCGTTGTATAAATCTGATCTATTATTATTAATTGTCAGAAACTTGTTGAACACGGAACATGTCAACTTGTTTAATCTAAATATCACATGAACTGTGACACTAACATGAATGGCA